GAAAATCTTTTTTATAGAAGATTATTTTTTAAATGTTGCAAGAAGGAAGTTGCCAAATTCTGTAACCATTTAGGCATGTGACAAAAGGATACTATGTTTTAAAAAAGGTAGATCCTGCTTTTAAGAAGCTCACATAGCAGAGGAAAAAGACACACAAAAAGCATGGAAATGGATGTGCCTGAGGTCAGCACCTGCGGTAGGCTGGGTCTGAGCGGGAGGGGGCGACAGTGGTGTAGAAGGGGTGCCATTCCCACCAGACTGAGGGCCAGGAGGAAGCTGGGAGGGCCAGGCTGCCTGCACAGAGGTGACAGTCATAATAGCCACCATAGGCCTCTTTCAGGTGGACAGAGTTTGCATGGCAGGGGGACCCAGGAGTGGGGGAGGACACGCTCAGCCCCAGCTGTGAACAGTCACCTGTGTCAGCAGCAGGAGATGGTCCTGTCAGAGCTAGGAGTGTCCCTTTTGTGGGCTGAAATGACTTAACTGGAGAGAAGGTGGAACTGTCCTATGATTATGTGAATTCACAGCCTGGAATGCAGTCTTACTCCAATGTAATTCTTTCAAAATACATTTTTCATAAAATACTTCTGTTGGATTGTATCCCCTCAAAATTCCTATGTTGAAGTCCTAAGCCCCAGTACCTCAGAATGCAGCCTTTTTTGGAAAGAGGGTAGTTGCAGATGTAGTTAGTTAAGATGAGGTCATAGAGAGTAGAGTGGGCCCCTAATCCAGTATGACTGGTAAATTTATAAAAAGGGAAGATTTGGAGACAGACACAGACACACACACACAGAGGGAGAATGTCATGTGAAAACTGGAGTTAACGCTGCCACAAGCCAAAGAACTCCCAGAAGCTGGGAGAGAGACCTGGACAGATCCTTCCCTACAGCCTTCAGAGGGAGCAAGGCCCTGTTGACACTTTGATCTTGGACTTCTAGCTCCCGGAACTATGAGATAAAATTATCTGTTGTTCTAAGCCACTCAGTTTTTGGTACTTTGTTACTACAGCCACAGGAAACTAACACAGCCTCCTTTCTGAGGAGGTTGTTCTCGTAACTGGGCTGGAGGAAGGAGGCCAGTTGCCCTGGAATCCCTTGCACAGCTAAAGCGTGTTTACTTTGCTCCCGTTGCCATGACAAAACTAAGTGAATCCTTGAGAGATGGATGTATTTTGTGTCTGGCTCACAGTAGTGTTTTCCATTACTTTACACTGATGATCAATCTTGAGACATTAGGAACAAACTGTAGAAATGCTCTAAGAAGGTGAGTGCTAACAGGAGAAAGAACTAAAATTAAGTCATGTTACAAAGTATTTTTGCATGTTACAAAGTATATATGCACAAAGCCACTGGAGTACACAGAAACAATATGTAACTGTATCCCACAGGGCAACTATTGCTACAGAGATACCTTGAAACAAAGTTTTAATGAGCACTGTTCTAGTAAGAATGTAGGAACATCACCTGGTAGATAATACCTTAAATTTCTATCATATTTTGGTGGCAAGATCTGAATAGTTGAAAAGCATCATACATTGAACATTATGCATTATAATTAATTTAAAAAATTATTTCCTTGTCTTAAAGGACATTAAAGTCCACTTTTGGAGCATGGGAGAAACATAGCATAATTGTCAGCAATTTATTAGGAACACAGACTAGTACAAAAGGATGGAAGGGACTGGGCTATTCTCATCTCAAGACTCTACAGGTCTGTTAACTCTGAATAGCAACATGTTCTTGAACCAAGCCTGTTTTTTAGAACTGTTCTTGACAAGAAACTAGGTGGCATCACCTCTGGTGCTGCTTTAGAGTTTCCTGCACGCAGCCAGGGTGTCACTGGGGAGGAGAGCACACAGGCACCACCCAACCAGGAAGTTCTGCAGACCCAGTGGCAGCAGAGGAATACAGAAATAAGGGTCTCTTTTAACCTCTCTGGTAATAATTGATGTACTATGCATGTCCTGGTGAAAAATGTGATTCACTGAAACATGACTGTTCTTCCAGACCCACTATAGGTGGACTATGTTTCTATATGCGTAAGCAGCATTTCATGGTGGGTAACACAGTAAAATATTATGGGAAAGAGACCCAGAGCATCATGCTAGTCTGTGCTAAGTAAGTATGTGCTCAATTAAAGGATGAATAAACTACTCCAAGGACATTCCCTGGATGGCTTTTAGCAGTCTGCGAGACTCCGGAGCAAGCTTCATTTAATTGTGGTAGATTTCAATGACCTTATCTGTCCAGATCTCTTCCAGTGCTAAAATCATATTATACCATATCATCACAACAGCATAAAAATTCTTACGGAATTTAAGGGTCCATACGCACTTTGGATTCTGCTTTCCCAGCTGGCAAAAACTCCATTTCAAAAACTGGATTATCATGGTGGCCAACAATTACGAAGTAGAAGCTTCCAGACATTGTCTTCGATATATGGCTCCTAATTACTTAAATGAAAAATAATATATATTTTTAGTACTCAATATTGAAATTCAGAAATGGCTAACAGGAAGTCTAGAATTCATTTATTTTTTTTCCTTAAACCTGACATTGTAGAGGAGATGCCACGAAACTTGGCATGCTTTCCAGTATACTACCATAGATACATGGCTTTGGGACTAAATAAATTATATATCTGTGATATGTCCTGTAGAATCTAATGTACTATATTTTCATAGGGAAATTGGAAGACCTCTAATATGAAATCATAAAGACAACATCCTCACCATCTGAAAGTTTGGAACATTTAGCTCAAGGGTTCCTGTGTGTCTGGTGGAGTAAGCTGGGCTTAACTTAGGCTGGACCAGTTAGCACCAGCATTGACACTGGGAAAAATTAATAGAGGATACCTGTAAGTTAAGTACAATAGACAGTGGTGAGAAGGCAAAGAAAGCAATTGTCTTAGAAATTTCCAGGAAGCATCCTTCAAAGGAAGCTGAAAACAACTCTACCTCATGTCATCTACACAGAAAGGAGAGAAACTCACATTTATCTGCAGACTGTGTGCTGTATTTGTCTTCTTTCTACCTGTGTGCTATAAATATAAGTCTCTGCAAATGTAAGAGCCAATGATATGCCTCCTTATACATCAGCTTATAACAAAGGAAGAAACAGTTTTGTATTCTAGAAAAGATGGAAGAAATAATCCCAAAAGGAAGACATTCTGAGAAAGTGAGAGGTCTTGGAACTCAGGTTAACAGTTTGGCTAAAGAAATGAGTAGCTGCGACAGAGACCATCTGGCCCACAAAGCCAAAAATATTTACTATCTGGCCCTTTACAGAAAAAGTTTGCCCCTGTTTTAGGGGAAAGATGAAAAAAAGGCCCAAATAGTAAAAGTAGATAACAAAGACAAGCAGGAATGATAAAAAAAAAAAGCTGTGCAAAACCAGGAGAATTGGCAAAAATTCTCCAGGGAAAGCGAGGGGATGAGAGATGGAGACTGGAAATCTGAACAAAGTAAACTGATATTATGAATTCTTGCTGGACTAGGTTTCAGAGCTGGAGTGTGCCAAGGGAAGGGCTTACTTTCTTCAGCACGAATATTTAAGCAGCAGCAAAAAAATGTTTAAGCAGCAGCAGAAGGAAGAATATGCATAAGGAAGATAACCTGCACCCACCCACCCTCCATGGAACTCGATGATTGGGAGCAGCACGGTGCTAAGCGCTGCAGGCAGACAGACAGAAAGAACTGAAAGAACGACCGACAGCACAAGGGTGCTGTTACAAACTACTCAGCCAGGCAGAGGATGAGACAGAGCTTTCTTTATATACATTCTGTCCTTGACTTGAGCTGCCAGTGACTTGATTTGGTAAACAGCTGAAGAAGCAAGAAGGGCTATAACTCTTCATTCAGTTCTGCCAAGGAAAAACTGACAGGTGAAGTGGAGGAACTGAAAACCCCGGGAGAAAATGACCCCATTGTTTCAGGAAGGGAATGGCTGCAATCACTTAGCAAATATTTGATATGGGGCAAAGGTGAGGCAAACTCTAGAATTCCACCCTGTGCAATATATGGAACTTTCTGTGAGGATGGAAATGTTCTATACCTGTGCTGTCCGACATGGGAACCAGTGAGCATTGGAAATGTGGCTAGTGTGAACTGGATTTTTAATTTTAATTAATTTAAACATAAATAGACACACGTGGCTAGTGGTTATAGTATTGGACAGTGAAGCTCTAGATCAGTGTTTCCGAACTTTTTATAAAAGTTTGGGACCTCCTCCACCTTCTCCCCACTGATAAATTACTTAGAATTCAAATACAAATAAAACAACTGCTGTGATTGAAGTGCCTGTGTTGGTGTGAGTGTGTATGTGTCTGCTCAATTTTGCTGTCATCTTAAATAGGTGCCCTTGAAGCATCTCCAAGGAAGGCTTGGTCTAGAGGTGGTCAGGAGGTAGCTCCACAGAATTTGGAAATAGGTTAAACTAGGAAATTTGGACAAGAGAAGAATCTAAGATGGTTTCCAGATGTCTGGCTGGGTGAACAAGCGGAATAAGTGGTCCCCTCCCAAGATGTCCACACCCTAATCTCCGGAACCTGTGAATATGTCAGGGTTCATGACAAAGAGGAATTAAGGCTGCAGATGGAATAAAGCTGCTCATCAGCTGACCTTAAGATAGAAGATTAGCCTGGATCATCCAGGTGGGCCTGATGTAATTACAAGGGTCCTTAAAAGCAGGACATAAAGGAGGAAAGTCGGGAAGTGTAACTATGGAAGGATGGTCACAGAGAGGTAATGTTGATGGTTTTGAAAATGGAGGAAGGGGCCACAGCTAAGGAATGCAGGAGGCCTCTAAAAGCTGGAAAGCACAAGGAAACAGATTCTCCCCTACAGCCTCCAAAAGGAACGCGGCCCTACAGACACTTTGATCTTAGCCCAGCGAGACCTGTGTCGGACTTCTACGCTACAGAACTGTAAGATGATAAATCTGTGTTGTATTAAGCCACTAAATTTGTAGCAATTTGTTACAGCAGCAGTAGGAAACTAACATACATGTCAAAGCTGGAAAACTCCCAGGTATGAGAGAAAAGGAAGGAAATGCTCAAGGAGGTGTCAGCAAATGAGCAGAAGGTGCATTCTAGGAAGAGACTTAGGACAAAAGGGAGTTCACTTACCCTGGGGCATGGGGTTCAAGGCACTGTGGAAAGGTGTTGCAGGGAGACAATGACGGTCAAGGTGAAGATATCTGGAGCAATGTGGGGCTGATAGTGTGGAAAAGAACAGGGGCTCTGTTTTTTCCAGCATGCATCCCAAACACAGCCTGGTACACAGAAAGTGCTCAATAACTGCCATATGGAACTACGATAAGGAGGGGGGTTGTAGGTTGGAAAGTGTTGTCAGGTGATGCTGGAATGCAAGGATGAGCCATGGTGGGATTTCAGTGTTAAGCAGCCTCAACACTGCAAAAAACCTTCTGAAAGCTCCAATGCTGAGGCCCTAGAGGCCTGACAGCGAAGTCTGTGTTCAGGTGGCCCACAGCACCTTTGTGAGAAGTTGTTGAAGTTTGTTAAGGTACCTATGAACAAATCCTCCGTGACAAGGGACTGGACTTGGTGGCTGATGAGAGAGAGCCAGGACTCTCATTTGTGGTGGAAACAGCAGCTGTCCCTGGTGGTTAGGGCAACTTGGGCTTCTTTTCAGAGGGAGACAACTAAAGAAATCAACTTGGTGATACGAGGAACTTCTCTGAGCTGGGCACAGAGGCTCTCACCTGTAATTCCAGAACTTTGGGAGCCTGAGGCTGGAGGGTCACTTGAGGCCAGGAGTCTGAGACCAGCCTGGGCAACATAGCGAGACCCCATCTTTACACAAAATAAAAATTTTTAAAAAGCCAGGCATGGTGGCATGCAACTGTATCTCAGCTACTTGGGAGGCTGAGGCAGGAGGATCACCTGAGCCCAGGAGTGCCTCGGTTGCAGTGAGTTATGATTGTACCACTGCACTCCAGCCTGGGTGACAGAGTAAGACCCTGTCTCACAAAAAAAGAAACCAACTATACAACAATAAGACAAGGGAAACCTAGATTAAGAGCAGTTCATCTACATGAACCCTAAAGTTTTAACTTACTGCAAGCTCAGTAAGAGGCAGCAGTCTGATATGATGGTCAAAAAAGTTGATGCAATTATAGGTTGCATTAAGAGAAAGCCAATGTCCAAGCAAGGTTGAGAAAAATGTCAATGTCCTCTTTACTGATAATATCTTTGGGGAAGGTACTCAGTTCTGGGAATCACATTGTAAAAGAATCAATAACTGAACTGTTTGTGTTGGGGGAAGAGCAGGCTCTAGGCTAGGGAGTGTTCTGGAAATGATAAAAGCAACTGAAAGTACTGAGGATGTTTAAACTGAGGGGGTGGGATGGGGAAAGGGAGTGGGTCTGGCAAAATACTATCTAAGCTGTCTAATGGAAAAGGGATTTGGCTAGGGATAGCAAATAGGCTTCCTCTCCTGAGCGAATTTCAATCACCTGTTAGTGACCGCCAGGAACTGCTGCTGAGAAAGATTCTCAGACTAAGTGCTGTCAACAAGAAAGAACGCTGTGCTCAATTGTCCCTGTTGGCTATGTGGGTTTGGGAGGTGCAGTGTCTACATGAGGGCCAATTTGCTAACTCTGGACTAGACAGACTTATTCCAAACTGCTCCATAGGCCAAGCCCAGGGCTGCTCATTTGAAGTTAGGAGGAAAATAGAAATGTGTAAGGGGAAGCTAGAAACCACCAGTGCCAGAGTGGGAGGATGAACTCAATGAACTTAGAAGTTCCTTCCAACTATGGAATCTTAAGTTGCAGGCAAATGAAAGACAACACTCGAGGACTCCAGTTCCAAAGCCACCCATTTTTTTTGGCAACCTTTTTTATAGCCTCTACAGAGGAACTTGTAGATAAGCTGCCTTTTGCTCCCGATGGCAGTGGTTTCAGTTGTTCCACAGACCCAGGGCTGCAAGAGTAAACTGGTGTGGCATGGGACATGTCTATTGCAATGAGGAGTATGAATACCATTGATAGGTCTCTAATGTGACAGTTTCCCAATATTAGAAGTAATTCCCCTACCCCTAAATGAGGTTATGTTGGCTTTTGGAGAACATTTTATTTAATTCTATTCAACTTCGGGACCAAAGGTGGGAGTAGTAGTGAGGGGGTCTTCAGGCACAGATGCTTTCTTTTAACAGTGACCAAGTGCTTCTACTTTTAAACAGCATTTACAACATATCAACATCTTGAACACTTCATCATTTCACTATTCTGCTCAAAATCCTTAATGCTTCTCAGCAACAGGACCATGTACTAGTATTCAAAATGATTCCCACATTGCTCCACATGTCTTTTCTCAACCTTTTCCACCTCTGCTGCAGTTGACTGGTTTACTTTTTTGTCCCAAACTCACTTTGCTTGTACCCACTCCGGAGTTACTGTTCGTATTTTTCTCTTTATGCTTGGAATGTTCCCCCTGATTCTGTGTGCAACCCTTACCCATCCTTTAAAGTCAACTAAGTCCCTCCTCCTCCACAGTGATTTCCAACAAAAACCTACAGGCTCTCTACCTCCTATGATAATCCTGTCACTCTTGCTGCCTCTAAAATACTTTCAGTTTTTCACAGCCAGAGAGCAAAACTCATTGTACTCTTCTTTAGTGCAGTGCAGAAGCTGACACTGATCCAATTTTGTCCTCATAGTACTTAGATACCTTATACTCCCAGTGCCCAACTCTGGAGTCAGGTCAGACTCCTCACTGCCCCCAAGAGAGTCCTGACTTTTTTTTTTTTTTTATTCCTTTGCTCATTTTTCTCCCCTCCTATGATGTTCTCCTTTTTGCCCATCATCCAAATCCTACCCGTGAAGCCCCTGATAAAATCACACTTTTTCCACAGAGATAACCTTGATCATTTCCATCTTCAACCACCTCTCCTTTACCTAAACTCTTTCCGCAGTCTACAAAACATCTTAGTTCTTGTTCAATTCTTTGGCTGTAAAGTTTTCACTATTGCTTCTGAGAGATTTGGTGCCTTTTCTTTCTCATTAGACTTAAGCATCTTGGGTGCCGGCTCACCTTTCCCTACGGCACACAATGGTAGGTACTCTAAAAACGTTTAGCTCTGTGCTTCTCAACCAGGGGCGATTTTGGCTTCCCAGAGCTCATGTGGCAGTGTCTGGAGACATTTTTGGTGTCACACCTGGGGGAAAGGTGTGCTACTGACACTTGGTAGAGACCAAGGATGCTGCTAAACCTCATACGACGCACAAGACCGCCTCCCACAACGAAGAACCTTCCGGCTCCAAATGGCATTAGTGCCGTGGTTAAGAAACCCTGAGTTAGCTGAATGGCCCCCGGAAGAGCGAAAGAGGCAAAGTCCCCGAGACAGTGGGCGTTTGCAGGTCGGAACGCAGTGTAGATTAACCAGCTGGGGCCGTCCGGGTCCAGCCCGGCTGTCCCAAGGCCGCTCAGGGGTGGAGGTACAGGGCCAACATCCACGTCACAGAGGGGCTGGGACGTTCCCCAGGGACCTAAAGCGGCCGCCCCCGTATTCGCTCCATCCCCTACCTGCCGCAAGATGCCGACAACGGAAACGCCCAGTCCGTTACCACAGCGAAGACCCGCGCTCCGCAGCTTCTGCTGCAACTGACAGAGCAGTCCTCGCGAGACCTCGCGGATGCGCTCCCGCGAGATGCAGGTGAAGTTTCCGGTCGGGGCCGCGCAGCCGGGCGCATGCGCTGTAGCGCTCGGGACGGGGATTGTTCGGCTCGGCGGGCCTCCGGGAAGGGGGAGGGTGAGCGCTGAGAGGTGAAAACAGGCGGTCTTCCGTTGCCTTCTAGTGCCCCATCTTTCCGGGTCTCCGCCCTCCAGTCACCTTTGAGTGTCGCGCCTGGGTCACGGGCTCGCCCACCCCTCTGAACTGCGAAGAAAGGAACTGCGCTTTCTTGCCAGAGTTTCTATTTCGGAGTTCAAGGCAAATCGTTCAGCACCCTTGTTCCTCCCGACCCCCCGGGACAGCGGCAGGGATCTCAGAGCAAGGATTCCCCTTCGTTTTGGGCCTGCAGCCCGAGCTGGGCCTTGAACTCGAGCCACAGCGGGGAGGAGCGGGCGGGCTCGGAAGGAAGCTGACACCTGACGATGGCTCAGGTAGATACACCTGCGCCTCCTCGGGGACTGGCGGAAATGAAGTCTCTTGTTTGTGTTCGTTAAAGCTCCTTTCCCCGCTGGGCCTTTTAGGGCTTTCCCGGAGGCCACTGGTCTGTTTTCAGAAATTCACATCCCCTCTGCCGGCCAGGTAACTTGTAACCGTTTTGTCTTCCAGTCCACCATGGCCCCCAAATGTGATGTGTTGAGTCAAGATGACCTGCGCAAAAAGTTATACCAGACGTTTAAGGATCGGGGCATACTGGACACACTCAAGGTATGTGATTTTCGCATATCCGTGTCATAACTTTTACAACTGTAACCTGGAACAAGTAGTCCACATTTAAATTCATTCAGGGCTTGGGTTTTAATAATAGTATGATATATAGATTGTGTTGGTGAATTACATTTTTATATTCCTATATAACTCTTTATTTTGAAATAATCTATGGAAAATGTTCGAGAAAATGTTAAGTTCGAGTCCTCTTAAAAGAGCATGTTTAATTAATTTAACTGACATTAAGATAATGGGTGACATTTATATAACAAACGACACATTTTAATAAGACTAGGCTTTTTTTTTATAAATTTGGCTTATAGGTTCCTAAATTAATAAGTGCTTTTGTAATACATTTGGATGAAGGACATCAACACCACATAGAAAATATTAAGCTTAATGTAGACCAGTTTGGAGAATGAAAAATTTCTTCTTTAAAATATATTGAGACATATGAATATTTAATTTGGGCAGCAAATATTTATTAGTATACTTTGGATTAACAGCAGGGAGTCAGATTAGCTCAGCGTGTTTTCATTATGGTGTACATTTCAAAAGCATATTTTACATTTAAAATGGGAAATTAAAGAAGAATGAGCTTGATTTTTCTCCACCCCTTCCCCATTGCTTTTGTAACTTCATAAAAATACTTCAAACTCCTCTGGAAAATACAGATAAAGCATAAGGGAGAAAAATCCTCTCTAATACAGCCACTAATTGGAATAATGCATGTATATGTATATCCTTTTTAAATTTAAATTATAATGACAAGCATTTCCCTGTTGCCTTAAAGGTTTCTTTCTTTCTTTTTTTTTAACCCCCCAAGACAGGGTCTCGCTCAGTTGTGCCAGGTAGAGTACAGTGGCATCATCATAGCTCACTGCAACCTCAAACTCCTGGGTTCAAGCAGTCCTCCTGCCTCAGCCTCATGGGTAGCTGGACTACAGGCACATGCCACCACATCTGGCTAATTTTTCTATTTTTAGTAGAGATGGAATCTTGCTCTTGCTCAGGCTGGTCTCGAACTCCTGAGCTCAAGCAATCCTCCCGCCTCAGCCTCCCATGGTGTTAGGAGTACAGGCGTGAGCCACCTCGCCTGGCCCCTTAAAAGTTTCTTGAAATCCTCATTTTCAGTGGCAACAGTCACATTTTTGGATGTATGAATAATATATATAGCAGTCCCCTGTTGTTGAATGTTTAAGTTATATCTTCCAACAATCCAGAGTTGTGAGGAAGTGGTGAATTTTTTCCTGTCCTTGATATCCTGATCATAAGCCACTGAAATGAGCTTCTAGGGAAATGAAGTGAAGAGTCCCTAAGCGGTCTGGCTAGTGACCAGTTCACTTGGAAGCTGGGGAAAGAAAGTTTTTTCCAGAACCCACTGGGCTGCTCGTCTTTCGGCCATGGATCTAGAACCATTCTGGAAATAAAAGGAAAGATTCCAGTGAATGTGACAAATTTGTGTAAATCTGTAGTGAAATAATCCTGCTGAAATTTTTTCCCCTTGTGTTTGTTGATCTAGACGCAGCTTAGAAACCAGCTAATTCATGAATTGATGCACACTGTATTGAGCGGAGAACTGCAACCTCCCTCCATTTCAGTAGAAGGAAGCTCTCTCTTAATAGGCGCCTCTAACTCTCTAGTGGCAGATCACTTACAAAGATGTGGCTATGAATATTCACTTTCTGTTTTCTTTCCAGAAAGTGGTTTAGCAAAAGAAAAGGTAAAGTCTTTCCTTTTCTGTTTTCAATTTTTCTATTAAGTTTCTTCCTCTGATAATTGTAAAGTGCTACTTGGTAGCTAAGTGCTCCTGAGTAGCTTAGTCCATTTCTCGTTCATCTTTGAATTCATATCATATCTGCACATAATGTGTTATATAACAAATGGCTACTAAATTTGATTGTTGTTAATTCCTTGATATCTCAGTCGTTTGTAAAATAGTGATATGTAGAATCACTGAATGTTTTGGAGCTAGAATTGATCTTACTTTCCATGTAGTCTAATGAAACTCTGCCATTTCTGTTGAATGTCTGCTATGAGCTTGGTACTGTGTTAGGCACACTACAGGTGTTTCATGTTTTACAGATGAGGAGAGGTGAAGTGATTTGCCCAAGGTCATGTAATTTGTAAGTGGCAAAGCAAGACAGTAAATCTAGATCTCTAAAATGTGCTCTTTTTACTATGTTATGGTCTCTTAAGGTGTTTCTCTTTGTAATACTTCTCTTTGTCAGAGAAGTGAGAAATATGTGATTTTTTACAAAATTAAAGTTCTCAAATATTAAAACATGTCTTATGTTTTACCACTCTTCTAATTATTTTAACTATATATTCTTCGCCATTACAATTGAACATAATAGTCCCACTTTATTTTAAAGGCGGATATAGCAAACTTTTCCTATGTGTGTGTGTGTTTAATATTCATTTCTTCAGAGCAATTTTGGGTTCACAGCAAAATTGAGTGAAAAGTACAGAGTTCCCATATACCCACCCCACACATGTACAGCTTCCCTTAATATCAACATTTCGCAAGGTGGAGCATTTGCTATAATTGATGAACCTACATTGACATGTCATTATTACCCAAAGTCCATAGTTTACATTAGGGTTTACATTTGGTGGTGTTCCTACGTTTTCACCCTATTTTA